GACAATCTGCAAAACGAGCCTTAAACAAATCCCCTGTAGATGGCTCTAGATATTTAATTATCGATGGGGAGTCATATCCAACATATATCCCCAACCTCCTCTGAGGCCCCATCTTAGATCGCTGTGGTGGAGCAATTGGAACATATACAGCACATCCAAAAACTTTTAGATGGGAAATATTCGGTTCACGACCCAAAATTAATTGTGAGGGGGAATACTTATGATTACTCGTTGGCCTGATGCGAATTAACTCTGCCGCAAGTAAAATAGCATGTCCCCAAGCAAAAATTGGGAGTTTTGATTTCATAAGTAATGGTCTAGCAATCAGTTGGAGGCGTTTAATCAATGATTCAGCTAAACCATTTTGTGTATGAACATGTGCTACAGGATGTTCAACACTTATCCCAATGGACATACAATAATCATTAAAAGCTTGGGACGTAAATTCACCAGCATTATCAAGACGAATAGTCTTTAATGTGCTCGTAATCGAATCAACTGAGCAAGTAACCTCGCAAACGCCAAATTACGGGTTGATAACAAAGATACATGTGACCATCTAGTCGATGCGTCAATTAGACCCATAAAATATCTAAAGGTTCCACACGGTGGGTGAATCGGCCCACAAATATCCCCATGTATCCGTTCCAGAAAATTTATCGATTCAGAATTTATCTTAGCAGGTGAAGGCCTTATGATTAGCTTGCCTTGTGAACATGCAGCGCATGAAAAATCATTAGGAAGAACCCTCTGATGCTCCAATGAATGTCCACAAGAATTCATTATTATCTTTCGCATCATTATCGAACCGGGATGGCCTAACCGGTCGTGCCAAACATTGAGATTTTCAGTAAACTTCTGGTTTACTACAACATTTGCCTCAATCGTACTAATCTTAATAAAATATAAACCAGTAGAGAAGGTGGGTAGTCTTTCAATAATTTTCTTTGAGCCTTGGGTAATCCTTATGATCTGAAGGTACTCATCGTTTCCTTCATTCATAGTCTCAATATGATACCCATTTCTACGGATATCTTTAAAACTCAATAGATTTCTCTTAGACTTGGGAGAATATAACGCATCAACTACTTCAAGTTGCGTTCCCATAGGCAATAACATATATGCTCTTCCAGAGCCTTCAATTATGTTTGCACTACCCGAGACTGTACTCACACTAGCCTCTTTCATTATCATATGAGAAAAATATCTCTTTTTCTTTAGAATAGTATGGCTAGTCGCACTATCTACCAAGCATATATCCTCACCATCCATCATTATTTTCTAAATAAAGAAAACAAAAATATATATAATCATGAGATCGAGGCAAAATAATACGACTATCACAACAAAATCAAATAAATGCTTGCATATATTTCTTATTAAAAACGCATATATATAAATAAGGTGTCACATAATAATTTACCACAAATGAATTTGACATGATTGACTATAGTTTATAATTAGGCGATAGAGCAAACAGAAATTATAATTTACATGAAAATTATTTATTTATTTATTTCTATTTTTTATTTAAGTGAATAATATATTACATGCTACATAAAATAAATAAGAAATGATTATTAAAATTTAAAGAGGCATTACGAAGCATGACTCCAACCAACAATTATACCAAACGTAAACCATAGATCAAACATACTTAAGCATGCATGCATGAGAAATTCATACGAAGTCATGGGTACCTCAATGAACCAACTTAAACCAAT